AATTCGAAGCATCGTATTCTTAATCGGTTTCCCCAATTGAAAACGGCCTGGAAAAGCGGAAAATTCGAGGAAAAACTGGATAAAAACATTCAAAAATGACCGACTGTCAAAACTGGGAAATGACATTGTGCGACGTTGCCACATCTCAAATAAGAAAAAATTACATTTTAAATAGTTTTTTTGTTTAAATAATTAATTAATAATGTTTATGAAATGATAAATTCTGAAAATAATGCATTGGAATCTTATTTTTAATAATTTTCAATAAAAATAACATTCCAACGCCTGCTTAATAGTAAGTAAGACAGGGAGGGAGATAAAGTAGGAAATAATTTAGGTCTAAAAATGGAAGTTTTTGGTGGAAAAATGCAATGACCTATTAACACAGATAGACAGAACAGTAAACAATAATATTGGTTGACTACATCCCAGGAACCGCAATCCTTGTGTTCTTTTGTATCTTTCTCTAATACGTGAAATGCGATTATTTTTCAATGAAAATTAGCAACGCTGCAAGAAAATAAATTCCACCCCGAATTCCACCTTTCCACCAATCAGCGGCTTCTATCCAATTGTCATGTCAATATGCGACCTACCTGTATTTTATGACAATTTCCATTTGTCAATCAGTGCGCTCTGAGTGTATCCGCATCTTTTTTTAAAATCATGTAAAATATAAAGATAAAGATACACTTTTGTAGCACTGATTCTGGTTTCATTTTCAGAGTTGCCAAGTATGCGATAGTAAAGTGGGGGCGGAGTTAGCGGAATCATTTGAATCTCTACTCCTAGCCGCTTTCACAGCTCACCCCCCCTGGCCCATAAAAACATGTAGTCAACCAAAACAAAGCCACAAGCTATTTGATCAATGGGATGTTCTGTCTATCTATGTTAATAGGTCATTGGAGAAATGAAGCAAATTCAAAGCCCCGCCTTTAAAATCATTTTTTTCTAATTGAAAAATCCCTGAAAAAGTAGAAAATTCAATGGAAAACCAACATTCCAAAGCATATTTGAAAAATCAAAGTTTTGTTCACTTGCTCCATTGGAAAACTGGAAATTTTAGGTGGAAAATGAAGAAAACTCGAAGCCTCAAACTTAAAACGGTTTTCCCGATTGAAAAGGGCCTGGAAAAGCGGAAAATTTGAGGAAAAGCTGGATAAAAATGTAAACTCGTCAATTAAAAATGGCTGACTGTCAAAAATAGCAAATGACATGTGACATTTATTACAGGGTCTACTTGAAGTTGGCTACAAGCGGTGTTGCCACATCACAAAACTTCCAAAAAAAAAAAAAAACATTTAAAATGGGATTTTACTTGTAATTTAATAATTAAAAACCCGTTAAATAATTAATTGATAACGATTTTAAAATTAGAAATTTCTTAAATAGGGCCTCAAAAACTTGCTTTTCAATAATTTTTTCTCACTTACCTTTTGACCGTAAATTAATGGATCTTAAACTGGAAATGTCTAGCAGAAAATTGAGAAAACTCGAAGTCTCGTACTTTAAACCAGTTTTTTCGACTGAAAAAACCCTGGAAAAGTGGAAAATTCGAGGAAAACCTGGATAAAAATGTAAACACGATACTTCAAAATCGCCGACTAATAATTTGATAGTGAGTAAGACAAAGAGAGAGATAAAATAGGATACTATTTTAGTTTTTAAATGGATGTTTTTGGTGAAAAATTGAAGCAAATTCAAAGCCCCGCATTCAAAACCCCTTTTTTTTTCGATTAAAGAAGCCTTTTGGAAAAGTGGAAAATTCAATGGAAAACCAACATTGTAAAGCCTACTTGATAAAATCAAGGTTCTGGTCACTTACCTCGTTGGAAAACTGGATATTTTTGTCAGAAAATGAAGGAAACTCAAAGCCTCGTACTTTTAACAAGTTTTTTTTTGATTGAAAAATCCTTGAAAAATCAGAAAATTCAAGGAAAAGCTGGATAAAAACACTACTTGATCAAAAATAACGTTGCCACAATTACAATCTCAAATAGAATGTTTTTCCTCATTTCCAGCATTTTTAATGTTAATTTGATTGTATTTTTAGCAAAAATAGTAAGACAAAGAAGTAGATAACGTAGGATACATTTGCAAAAACAACAAATGTACCAGCATGGCCAATCAAGGTTAAACTGTTCCAAAAAATCACTGCTATTTATCACTGTGACACGACTGTAGCAGTCACGTCTTGTCACAGCTCCAGTAAAATCGCAGGTTGGCCCACCTCTACCCTTTATAGGTCTGCAATACCAAGTGCCTTAATAAAAATGTCAATTTCTTCTTCTTATTCTTTAGATTTTGTGAGTTCGAGTCTTCTTAAGGCTCATCCTCAATCAATTCAGTAGCGAAGTGGCACTTCGGCACGCAAGCTAGGAAAATGTTATTTAACGTTGGCATCCTCAATTCAATTCCGTGCTGGCATGCACGTCGACTCCAAAGTGAAGTTTGCAAGCTGCATGTTTTTTCGATGCGTGCCGACTTATGTCATGCGCAGTACGTTTAAAAATTAATTTATGCTCGAAGAGCAGAGCGGAGCTGTAATCACGTGACCAGCAAGCGCACAGAGCAGTTAAACGCTGTATCAGAGGGCTCGAAATTTTAATAAACTAACGTGAATGAGCCTACACCGAGTACATTTTTTAAATAAACGAACGGTAAATTTATGCTCGGAGAACTCCGATCAAAATACCGAACGTACGGTTCGTGACCGTACTACACGTAGAACAGACTGAAAATTGACAGCATTGAGGATGGGTATCAATTTTTCAGCACGCGTGCCAAAGTGCCACTTCGCTAGCAGATTGATTGAGGATGTAGCTTGAAGCAATTCAATCCATCTGTCAAAAAGGAAAATTCAATATGGCGTGGCGGCCAAGCAAGTTTGTTTTGAATATGTTTTCATGCGTATTTTAAATTATTTTGCTTAGAGTTTTGCTTGCAAATTTGATTTGGATTAATTAATAAAATATTTGTTGACTAGGAGCCTAAATTATTAAATCGCGCAGGAATTATATATTTTTTTATGTTTTTTGGCCCATATGTGGCCGCCACGCCATCTTGAAAGTCACGCGGTTTGAATTGCCTAATACGTAGGAACTAGCCAAACAGAGGACCGGCCAATTTTTTGACTTTTGTTGTAGGTATTATAAGCAGTATTGCCATATTATGCTTTTTTCCAAATCTCGATTCTGGAAGGCTGAGGTTATCTCAATTATGAGTTCAAAGGGCCGATGTTATACGAGTCCGAAGGGCCGGAGTCATGCGAACCCGAAGGGCCGGAGTTATGCGAGCCCGACAGACCGGAGTTATTTTAATCGTGAGCCCGAAGGTCCGAGGTTATACAAGCCCGAAGGGCCGGAATTATACGAACCCATTCATTGTCAATTGATTTTAATACTTTTACTGTATTTTTTAGCCTCCTCACTGAAAATTGTCACGAGCCGCCACTGAACCCCAGAAACACAAACTGGGAAGAATACATGCACAAGCAAACTGCAACGCAACCTTAAACAAAAAAAGGTAAGCTGCAGCAACATACGTGAAGTAGAAGAAACCCTGGAGGTATACGAATCTAGTTGTCCTGTGAAGGAACAACAAGAATAGGTTGCCCATAGTGGGGGCTACACCGAAAGGCTGACTGAGTACAACAGAGAATTAAAGAAGGCACTTTCGTCCGGCATATGAATTGGTTGACGGTATGCACTTACCAGATACCTCCTATCAACCCGCACTGACCAGCATGAAACCATCGGGTAAGATTAGGCAACTGCATATTGAGACGAGAACCCTCCCATCTGACAAGAAAGTATTGGAACTAGAAGAACTTGAACAAATACACTGGAATGTAATCGGAATAAGTGAAATCCAGAAAAGAAGAGAAAAACAATAATCCTACTGAAGTCAGGAGATATGTATTACCAAAAATGTAAAAAAAAACAGTTCTGTAGGAGGAATCGGACTTCTGATAAATAGGCGACATTACACAATATACCTACTTGAGATCAGCAGCGTAAGCCCCAGAATTTGCTTTATAATATTGAAATTAAATGAACGATACATTGTCAAGATTATCCAAAGCTATGCACCCACATCCCAAAATTCGGAAAAAGATATTGAAGACTTCTTACTTACACAATTTCAAGTCCTCCAGCGTATTTTACCATGTACGTTATTCAGAGACTTCAATACCAAACTTGGAAAGAAACAAAATGAAACGTAATGGGGTTGGAGGAAGGAATAAAACAATAGGAAATCTCCTGCTGCCATGAACACATTCCTTAAAAAAGTGGACCATCGAAAGTGGACATGGACCAGTCCGGATGGTATGGAGAGTAACCCAATGAGCCATGCAAAAAGCTATGTTGGGGGTGACGTTGCGAGAATCCACAACGAAGAGATAGGTAGAAGAACTAAAGTTGCAGATGCTGTTAAAAGAATAACAAACCTAGAGTGGAACTGGGCAGGCCACGTCGCCAGATGATAGGTGTGATAGTGGCGACATAGAGATGCTGCATACAGAAGCCGGGATAGACCGCCGACTCGATGGACAGATGATATCGAGAAGACAAATTGGATCCAAGATGCCCAAGACCGAGCAAGATGAATTAGGTTAAGAGAGGCCTATGTCCAACAGTGGACATATTTGAACCAATTACCTTGTTCAAGCTGCCCAGGATAATTGCAAAAGAAAAAATTGCTGTATTAAAAATTTTGGTATTTAAAATGTGTATATTCAAGAGGAAAATATTAAAAGCACATTTACACAATAAATTACAAGGAATCTCATTTCCGCCACATGACATTTTTCCTAAGACAGATTTAAAACTGCCACACCACCATCATGCGACGAGACTGCAGAAGTAGGTAGCTATCTCATAGTTCTTAAGTTTATAACATGTAACTTCTGTACTTATAGGCAAGTAGATTACTGAGTAGAGTACTGTATACATCCTGCTGTTATGTTCTAAATAGTTTCTGAAGCTCGCTTGCACTTTCGGCATTTATCATCGAGGATGGCAGACTGGCGGATCACGTATAACCAAAGTAAAGTATAACCATATCTTGCTCTCCCCGTACAAGCTACATATTTGATGCCTCATATGACAGCTCATAGGGATGTTTTCCGTGCAATGCCTTCTGATTCCATGCTGCAATTTCGCTCAACTTTCATAATATCTGTTATTGTAGATGATCATTGCATAATATACTAATGACGTCCATATAGACCATACAGATTTTGTTTTGGAGTACTTTTCATGACTTCGTCCATATTTCTCTGAAATATAGAAGGTGCGTTTTTCAATCCAAATGGTATTCATAATGTCCATTAAGCAGTTTTTTCAATGGAATCTTTTTCTATTTCGATTTGATGAAAGACACTAGCTAGATCGAGCGACGAAAAATATTGAGCTTTACCTAACCTGTCTAAGATGTCATTTATGTTGGGAATTGGAGATTTATCATCAATTGTTCTAGAATTTAGATTTCTATAAATGCTATTTATACTATCAATGCCAGAATCTAGTAGGTAGTACCGCAGTACATTTACCACGTACCTGCAGATAGAAAACATCTTGCTTCGACAGGTTTTGTGGGATCGTTGATTGACTTCTAGTTACTAGTAACCGAGTTAGATGGCGCCAAAAACTAGTTAACATCGTCATTGAAAGGTGGCGCATGTTCGAACATCGTGTCGCTCTGGGCATATGGCGAGATTTCTCCTTCAGTCCGATAATTTCCCGTAGCGATGGCGAACACGACGATGTTGCGGAGCTCGAAATACAAATAATAATTTACGGAAAAATGCCGTCGGAAAACCCGAATAATTGTCCCGTAGTAGTCGTATTATTGTGATTGTCCTTTTATTTGTTTTTTGTCCGTCGTAGCTTTTTTTGTTTTTTTGTCCTAGTCATGACCGGATTTAGATGGGTTTTGTTTGTTGTAGTTTTCTGCGCTTTTGTTCAGGTATGGTTTAAGGAAGGGTCACTTTTATGTTTGTATATAGACCTTGAACAATTATTAAATCTGTATATTCTTAATAAAATATAAAGGAAACAATTATTTCGACCTACATCTTAAATAGTCCGGATGCTACTTTAAATTTTTCGTACCTCACCTTGAATTTTAGAATACAAAATGATGAGCTCATCTTCAATTCTATTGGGCTAATGCCAGTTAACATTTTTTTTTAATTGTTTCCACTTTAATCTGGGTTGCAATATATTACAAAAAAACCTGCAATAGCCGATATAACTATATGGAAAGTCAATGATTAATTGATCAAGTCTACTACTATTCTTATATAAAATTTATTTTAAAATGTACATAATTATATTGCAGCCCAGGAGAAAGTGCAATATATAGGTTTTAATTAATATGTATATGGTAATAATGCCTTTATATATTCATTTGATTTTTCAATTTTGAAACCCCTTGAACAAAATCAAATAAATAAACATTGAGAAATGTTCCATTACCATACCGAGCCCTTAAGGCGATGGGTTGTTTTAATCACGAGCCCACCCACTGAACAAAATAAGATTACAGTAATAATGAGGTAACATTACACTGCAAACTTGTAATGTTATATTGAAGTTTACTGTAATGTTGACGCAGTATTGCGGCAAGTACTGAAACAACCTTAGGGTAATATTACAAATGCAAGGTTTATAAATGATAACCTTTCAGTAATATTACTGGAATATTAGATCAAAACTTCAGCAAACTTACGAGTGTAAAGTTACAAATTCAAATATACCTTAGGGTTACTTGCAATTTATTAGTAAGTTTACTGCAATATTGCATTTTTATTACAAATATATTGGGTTCGCAACTTTACTGCAATAAAAAAGTAATGTTGCAACTGTAAATGCTATGTACCTATACAGAGAGATTTGATTTGAGGTGCATAAACTCTAACAGCTTGTTCTAAAAACAAGCTGTTAAAATTTGTGCCTGAAACCCATAATCATATATTAGGTAGATATTTTATTATGAATAAAAGTACAAGTTTTTGGAAAACAAAATAAAAAGGTTGGTAGGTATATTATGTATATCTATAATACTCACAATAAAAAAATATACTTAGGTGAAAAACAAAACGTAAAAAGTAATATCTCAAAGCAAAATAAATAAAAATTCTAAACAGAAAAAAAAAGCGAAATTTTAGATTGGTTGACAGTGACACCCAGGACGAAGTAGGTACTGGCTGCTACCACAGCTGCTACTTATATATTGTCACCTGAAACAAAAACAAAATCAGGGAGTAGTTCTGTATTTTTATTATAATAATTATTTCCCGTCGTAGCCACTTTCTTTCTGGACATTACCTACCAAACGGTTTACGATATTTTTGATCCTAACTTAAAAATTATCGTAAAATCATAATAAGTAATATAATAATAATACGGGATTTGTAGGTATGAAAAAAAGAGGTTACGGTTTACAAAAAAGGGGCCCCATTCCGCAGTATTTTTGTAAAAAGTATTTATTGACTATGCAAACCTTACTCACCTTATTTGAATCCTCATCCATTGTAATCGCTGTATATTTATTTCATTTCTACAGGTTCTAAAATAAAAACTGAATAATAAAAATAACCAAAAAGCAAAGCACTACCTGAACCGATCCAATACATAATCCCAACACAAACAGCAAAAATGTAGCCGAGATTCGCTTTATCACAGGCACAACATTCAACAAGCAGACACAGCACTCAACTCAAACGACAAACAGCGACTTGATGGCGTCGATTTGCTTTCGGTTTAGTTCGTATCCCCGATGTCGTTCCGATCGTTATTAATGGCGGCAAAGCTTTCGATTTTCCAATATATTATTTCTGCTATATTGCAGCAATTTTACATTCAATATTAAATTATAACATTGCAAAATAATATCAACACAACTTTAAGGCATCTTTGCGATGTAACCTTACCTACAAGTTATATTTCCAATTTTGCAGCAAGTTTACATTTGGTAGTTATTATAACATTGCAAAAATTATACCAGTTCAATTTAAATGCATATTTACAATGTTAATTTGCGTACAAGTTATAATTTCTAATATGCGTTAAAATTTCAAGGATATTCCATTTTGTAATTTATTAACGTAATGTTGTGTCAAAAATAATTCAATATTACATTGTAATGTTGCGAAACTAAGATCAGGGCATATCAGAGTAATATTACATTAGGCTTTCGTAACATTGCATGTTCAGTGGGCATACCTTATGATTTAGATTTTGGAAAACTTTGAAAGATCATAACTTTTTTTCTATTATAGATAGAAAGCTGAAACTTTCACTGAATTTTATCCCTTTCAAAGGACTACAATCGCTGAAAATTTCAGCTTATTTGCACTTATGGTTCCTGAGATAAAATCGTGTTAAGCAATTTGGGTTGATTTATCAATTTTTCAATTTTTCTGAGTGCCTTTTTTCATAGATTTCGGCTCCAAATCTTGGAATAATTTAGTGTATAGAGATTGGGGGATGTCAATTGACCATTAGGACACAAAATCTCAACAAAAAAAATTTTGAAATTTCATCGTTTTAGTAGGAAGGTACCTACCTTATGATTTAGATTTTGGAAAACTTTGAAAGACCATAACTTTTTTTCTATTATAGATAGAAAGCTGAAACTTTCACTGAATCTTATCCCTTTCAAAGGACTACAATCCCTGAAAATTTCAGCTTATTTGCACTTATGGTTCCTGAGATAAAATCGTGTTAAGCAATTTGGGGTGATTTATCAATTTTTCAATTTTTCTGAGTGCCTTTTTTCATAGATTTCGGCTCCAAATCTTGGAATAATTTAGTGTATAGAGATTGGGGGATGTCAATTGACCATTAGGACACAAAATCTCAACAAAAAAAATTTTGAAATTTCATCGTTTTAGTAGGAAGGTACCTACCTACCTTATGATTTAGATTTTGGAAAACTTTGAAAGATCATAACTTTTTTTCTATTATAGATAGAAAGCTGAAACTTTCACTGAATTTTATCCCTTTCAAAGGACTACAATCCCTGAAAATTTCAACTTATTTGCACTTATGGTTCCTGAGATAAAATCGTGTTAAGCAATTTGGGGTGATTTATCAATTTTTCAATTTTTCTGAGTGCCTTTTTTCATAGATTTCGGCTCCAAATCTTGGAATAATTTAGTGTATAGAGATTGGGGGATGTCAATTGACCATTAGGACACAAAATCTCAACAAAAAAAATTTTGAAATTTCATCGTTTTAGTAGGAAGGTACCTACCTACCTTATGATTTAGATTTTGGAAAACTTTGAAAGATCATAACTTTTTTTCTATTATAGATAGAAAGCTGAAACTTTCACTGAATTTTATCCCTTTCAAAGGACTACAATCCCTGAAAATTTCAACTTATTTGCACTCATGGTTCCTGAGATAAAATCGTGTTAAGCAATTTGGGGTGATTTATCAATTTTTCAATTTTTCTGAGTGCCTTTTTTCATAGATTTCGGCTCCAAATCTTGGAATAATTTAGTGTATAGAGATTGGGGGATGTCAATTGACCATTAGGACACAAAATCTCAACAAAAAAAATTTTGAAATTTCATCGTTTTAGTAGGAAGGTACCTACCTTATGATTTAGATTTTGGAAAACTTTGAAAGATCATAACTTTTTTTCTATTATAGATAGAAAGCTGAAACTTTCACTGAATTTTATCCCTTTCAAAGGACTACAATCCCTGAAAATTTCAACTTATTTGCACTTATGGTTCCTGAGATAAAATCGTGTTAAGCAATTTGGGGTGATTTATCAATTTTTCAATTTTTCTGAGTGCCTTTTTTCATAGATTTCGGCTCCAAATCTTGGAATAATTTAGTGTATAGAGATTGGGGGATGTCAATTGACCATTAGGACACAAAATCTCAACAAAAAAAATTTTGAAATTTCATCGTTTTAGTAGGAAGGTACCTACCTTATGATTTAGATTTTGGAAAACTTTGAAAGACCGTAACTTTTTTTCTAATATAGATAGAAAGCTGAAACTTTCACTGAATTTTATCCCTTTCAAAGGACTACAATCCCTGAAAATTTCAGCTTATTTGCACTTATGGTTCCTGAGATAAAATCGTGTTGAGCAATTTGGGGTGATTTATCAATTTTTATATTTTTCTGAGTGCCTTTTTCTATAGATTTCGGCTTCAAATCTTGGAATAATTTAGTTTATGGAGTTCAGAGTATCACGAGGGACCATAAGGACACAAAATCTCAACAAAAAAAAATTTGAAATTTCATCGTTTTAGTAGGAAGGTACCTACCTCATGATTTAGATTTTGGAAAAATTTGAAAGGTCATAACTTTTTTTCTATTATAGATAGAAAGCTGAAACTTTCACTGAATTTTATCCCTTTCAAAGGACTATAATCCCTGAAAATTTCAGCTCATTTGCACTTATAGTTCCTGAGATAAAATCGTGTTAAGCAATTTGGGGTGATTTATCAATTTTTCAATTTTTCTGAGTGCCTTTTTTCATAGATTTCGGCTTCAAATCTGAGAATAATTTTTTGTATGGAGTTTGGGGGATCCCAAATGACCATAAGGATACAAAATCTCGACAAAAAAAAAATTAAAATTTCATCGCTTTTTCCAAAGGGGGTAGTCTTAGATTTGGTTTTGCAAATTTTCAAACCTCAATATTTTAATAACCGTAAGAGGTATCGAGTTGATTTTTCCACCAGATTATAGCCCTCATCAAATGCTACAAAAAAGTCCCTATAAACCATTTAGCTACAATGCTTAGTTACGCAGCTATAGGGCCTTTAAGTTTTATGCCAAAAATTGACTAAGTTTCAACTTTGAAGCCTCATATCTCCAAAACAGCTAAAGGTATTTCATTCAATCTTGCGCCATTTTATAGAGAATTTAATCCTCTTTCCAACTGTATATAGTTTTATTCGCTTTAATTTAAAATTAATAAAGCTATAAGTGATTATTCACTTGCATGTCAGGATTTGGAAAAGTTTTCAGGACCAAAAATGAGCTTTTTTTGCTCAAGAGAAAATAGCTTCATTATGATGATTTGAGTGTTGTTTCCGACTAATTTTGGGCTCCTCTTTTCAATGGTGAAGTCAGAATTTCCGAAAAAAAATAAATAGAAGAATGCTTTACATTATAATGCCTATTTTTCACATTATATAGGACTCAAAGGGGCAATTTCCTTAGTAAAGTGTTTTCAAATTTATTTTTATCAATTACGCATTCAATTATAGCCCACTAAGCTCAAATTTCCCAAAAAAAAAAATTTTAAGCAATTTTTTTCCAAAGAGGTGGTAGCCCTAGGATTTGGTTTTCAAAACTTTCAAACCTCAATGTCTTGGTAACCGTAAAAGGTATCGAGTTAATTCTTTTACCAGATTGTAGCCCTCATCAAATGCTACAAGAAAGTCCCTATAAACAATTTAGCTACAATGCTTAGTTTCGCAACTACAGGGCCTTGAAGTTTTATACCAAAAGTGGACTAAGTTTCCACTTTGAAGCCTCATATCTCCAAAACAACTGAAGCTAATCTATTCAATCTGGTGCCATTTTGTAGAGAATTTAATCCTCTTTCCAACTATATATAGTTTAGCTGATTTAATTATTGAATTATTGAAGTTATAAGTAATTATTCATTAGCATGTCAGAATTTGGAAAAAAATTCTAAAGCAAAAATTATTTTTTTTGCTTATAAGAAAATACATTGTATATTATGATGATTTGGATGTTATTTCCGACTAATTTTGGGCTCCTCTGTTCAATGGTAAAGTCAGTATTTACGAAAAAAAAAAAATGCCTTACATCATAATACAACCTTAAATACGAAAATGCTAATTTCAAACACGTATTTTCATTAAAACACCATTTCAAATTGAAATCAATTAACACTATTTATTTACAGGTTCCAGTTACTTTCTAATCGCACGCTAAAAACAACCCAGAAAAATAAAAAACCCGTTACACATATTGTATACTAATAAATAGGGTATTAATTCAATATTTGATTGATTTAAATTACCCACAGTTTATGTTGCACATTGATACACCCTACAGGAAATATAAGTACCACATTTGGTAACCGCCGAACCCGCGTGGGAACCTGCCTTAATCTAATAATCAATTTCTATAAACGGATAACGATACAATGTAAAAACCTTCTAGGAAGTCGAAATTGTATGCAGTTTAAAAATAAACCGATTAATTTTGGGAGTTTATGGCTAACATCTGCTGTTCAGGTTAACATCAACATCTGCATTACATTATTATGGAGTTTCTCTAGTCAAAATTTAGACCCTAATGAAAGTGTCTAGAAGGGTAATTTCCTGAAATTTTAGAGCCTCAAACCCTATATCTAAATATGGATTGGTGCATCAGCAGGCAGGGAGAGCATTAAATAATAAAAGTCTAGACAGGATCGATACAGGGCCGACACGAACTAATTAGACTAAAAGGGGCGAAAGATTCATTGGTTCAAATTCTAAAAGACTTTGCAACGCCACTGGAATAATTAATCTAAAACCCACATGCTCCATTAACCATTAGGCAAAATTATAAAACCCAATTGAATTAATTTACATTACAACAAGTTGCGTAAAACCTTATAGTGTCTTTACAAAATACAATAGTCCAAGGTCTTGTTTTAGGTAAATTTGGCAGCGGAACTCGTCATCCACATTCCAGGCAGTTTGGGCCAAGAAGGGGTGGTTTACCGCCTGGACTACTACCCACCTTTCGGATATCCTGCCCCCAATACCACAATAGCCTCCAAAGACATACGTGACGTCATCAAATTCTCCCAAGCCCTTCCAGGAACCAAATACGATTTTTGGTTGTATTATTCCAATGCTACGCATAATACATTGACGTGGACTGCAAATTTTACTACAGGTTTATTTTATAATAAAAATTAATTTAGTTTAATTGAAATTATTTTTATTTAGTGCCTGATCCACCCTCAGGCTTGTCAGTTTTTGTCCGCAACGGCAAACAAGCTATAGTGACATGGTCTCCACCTTCACAAGGCAGCTATACGAGTTTCAAGCTTAAAATCAACCCTTTAGTTCACATCCCAGGTAACTTTAGCCATATTATTTAAGTAGGCATTATACATTATTAAACCAATATTATTTAGCATTAAAACCTTACCTGCAATTCCGCCTAAGGTGGGGTAAGTCGGTTGTTGATTGAGTGCGGAGTTGTTTGGCTTATTTAATTTTGTATTATTTTAATTTAGTGTCTCAATTTCTAACTTATTATTCCAGATGGCAAAGCAATTACTATAGAAAACATCGACAACGTCCAATACACCCTTAAAGATCTCGTACCTGGGGCCACCTACCAGGTACAAGCCTTTACGGTTTTTGAAAACAAGGAAAGTGCAGCTTATACTTCAAGAAATTTCACTACAAGTGAGTACTGTACATAACTACGTCATTATAGTTACCAACTTATTGTTTCAGAACCCAACACTCCAGGTAAATTCATAGTATGGTTCCGAAACGAAACCACTTTGCTTGTCTTGTGGCAACCTCCTTATCCAGCAGCTATTTACACCCACTACAAAGTCTCCATAGATCCTCCTGACGCAAACGACTCGATTTTATATGTGGAAAAAGAAGGCGAACCTCCTGGACCGGCGCAGGCAGCTTTCAAAGGCCTAGTACCAGGGAGGGCCTACAACATTTCAGTACAAACGATGTCCGAGGATGAAATCTCCACTCCTACCACTGCCCAGTACCGCACGGTACCTTTAAAACCAGGCAAAATTAGTTTTGACAAAGAAAAAATAACCACAAACTCGTTTGTGGTCCACTGGGAACCACCTGTTGGCAAAAGCGAGTTTGACAAATACCAAATATCCCTTGGTACTTTGAGAAAACCCCCACCAGTACCCAGATCCAAAGATGACCCAACCGATTGGGAATTTAAAGACAATTTGGAACCAGGCAAAACATATTCAGTTATTGTAAAAACCGTGTCTGGCAAAGTAACTTCGTGGCCGGTATCAGAACCAGTTACTCTAGAACCATTACCTGTCAGTCATTTACATTCAACCTTGGACGAAAAATCTGGAATAATTACCATATCGTGGAAACCTCATCCTGACAGTACTCAAGACAGCTTTTTGGTTTCTTATCACGAAGTCGAAAGCACTACAGGGGATAGCAATACTGTAACAACAAATCAAACAAAAATAGAGTTGGAGACTTTGTTACCGGGCCGCAATTATTCTGTAACTGTCCAGGCCGTGTCAAAAGACATGCAGTCAAAAGAAGAATCAATTTATGTGGTTACTAAGCCTAGTGCCCCTATAATTGAAGACCTTAAGCCTATGGTTGATGGTCTAAACATCAGTTGGAAATCTGATGTCAACTCGAAACAAGACAAATTTGAAATTGTTTGGATCCGAAACGATACTAGTGAGCGAGGAGTTAAGTCTGCATTTGACTCTAAAATAATTTTGAGCCAATTGTATCCAGGTGCTGGATATATGGTTAAAATTTTCGCCATTAGCCATGGGCTAAAGAGTGAGCCACATGAATATTTTCAGCCAGTTTGTAAGAATTTTAGCCCTTTTTTGAAGAATTACTAAATATTTGCTTTTAGTTCCCAAACCTCCTAGGAATATGTCAATTGAAAAAACAACCACAAATTCGGTCATAGTACAATGGCAAGCTCCTTTGGACTCTCTAATAAGTGAATATTCCATACGATATAAAACAGGATCGGATAATCAATGGGTCAAATTGCCAGCGGTTCAAAATACTGAAGCTGAAGTTACTGACATGACTGCAGGAGAAAGATACACCATTCAAGTGAACACTGTCAGCTATGGGTTGGAGAGTAACGAGCCTCAACAGCTCAATCATACTGTCAGGTAAGGCATAATAAAGGTTCTGGGATTTGATTAAACTTTTCATAGAGAATCACCTTTACATACTCTCAAGTTGGAATAAGTATTAATATCTACACTGATTTCACCAAGGTGCAAACCACCTAGGAATTGTTTGCCAAAAATGTGGAGAATTTAGAGAAAAATGTGGGGAATTTAGAGGAATTTGTGGGAAATTTAGAGGAATTTGTGAGGAATTTAAAAGAACTCATCGGAATTTATGAGAATTTAGAGAATTAATAGGGAATTTGGAAGAATTTTTATGTAGAATTTGGGAGGAATTTAAAGGAAATTGTTTGAAATTTTGGGAAAATGAGCTTCTCACCTTCCGCTCTATATGCAAAAAGTTTCAAAAATTTCCCTTCACTAGTTTTACAGGAAAACTTTGAAATGTGTGAGACTGTATTTTCAATTAATTCAGTTATTGTAGGTTGATTTCCAAGATTCCTCATGGTGTAATTTTTTACTGAAAAAAATTGAAATTTTGGGAAAATGAGCTTTTCAACTTCCTTTTTACATGCAAAAAGTTTCAAAATTTTCCCTTCACCAGTTTTCCAGGAAAACTTTGAAATGTGTGAGAATGTATTTTCAACTAATTCAGTTTTTGTATGTTGATTCCCAAGATTTTTCATGTTGCTGTTTTCCAATGGAAAAATTTGAAATTTTGGGAAAATGAGCATTTCACCTTCCTTTTTACATGGAAAAAGTTTCAAAATTTTCCCTTCACTAGTTTTCCAGGAAAACTTTGAAATGTGTGAGACTGTTTTTTCAATTAATTCAGTTATTGTAGGTTGATTTCCAAGATTCCTCATGGTGTAATTTTCTACTGAAAAAAATTGAAATTTTGGGAAAACAAGCTTCTCATTTTCCTCTTTACATGCAAAAAGTTTCCAAATTTTCCCTTCACTAGTTTTCCAGGAAAACTTTGAAATGTGTGAGAATGTATTTTCAATTAATTCAGTTATTGTAGGTTGATTTCCAAGATTCCTCATGTTGATATTTCCTACTGAAAAAAATTTAAATTTTGGGAAAATGAGCTTCTCACCTTCCTCTTTACATACAAAAAGTTTCAAAATTTTCCCTTCACTAGTTTTCCAGGAAAACTTTGAAATGTGTGAGACTGTTTTTTCAATTAATTCAATTATTGTAGGTTGATTTCCAAGATTCCTCATGGTGTAATTTTCTACTGAAAAAAATTGAAATTTTGGGAAAACGAGCTTCTCATTTTCCTCTTTACATGCAAAAAGTTTCCAAATTTTCCCTTCACTAGTTTCCCAGGAAAACTTTGAAATGTGTGAGAATGTATTTTCAATTAATTCAGTTATTGTAGGTTGATTTCCAAGATTCCTCATGTTGATATTTCCTACTGAAAAAAAATTAAATTTTGGGAAAATGAGCTTCTCACCTTCCTCTTTACATACAAAAAGTTTCAAAATTTTCCCTCCACTAGTTTTCCAGGAAAACTTTGGAATATGTGAACCTGTACTTCCAATTAATTCAGTTATTGTAGGTTGAATTCCAAGATTCTTCATGTTGTAATTTTCTACTGGAAAAATTTGGAAATTCTGGGAAAATGAGCTTCTCACCTTCCTCTTTACATGCAAAAAGTTTCAAAATTTTCCCTTCACTAGTTTTCCAAGAAATCTTTGAAATGTGTGAGACTGTATTTTCAATTAATCCAGTTATTGTAGGTTGATTCCCAAGATTCCTCATGTTGTAATTTTCTAATTTCTACTGCAAAAATTTGAAATGTTGGGAAAATGAGCTTCTCATCTTCCTCTTTACATGCAAAAAGTTTCAAAATTTTCCCTTCACTAGTTTTCCAGGAAAACTTTGGAATATGTGAGCCTGTACTTCCAATTAATTCAGTTATTGTAGGTTGAATTCCAAGATTCTTCATGTTGTAATTTTCTACTGGAAAAATTTGGAAATTCTGGGAAAATGAGCTTCTCACCTTCCTCTTTACATGCAAAAAGTTTCAAAATTTTCCCTTCACTAGTTTTCCAAGAAATCTTTGAAATGTGTGAGACTGTATTTTCAATTAATCCAGTTATTGTAGGTTGATTTCCAAGATTCCTCATGTTGTAATTTTCTATTTTCTACTGCAAAAATTTGAAATGTTGGGAAAATGAGCTTCTCATCTTCCTCTTTACATGCAAAAAGTTTCAAAATTTTCCCTTCACTAGTTTTCCAGGAAAACTTTGAAATATGTGATACTGTATTTTCAATTAAATTTCCAAGAATTTTCATGTTGCTGTTTTCCACTTGTAAGGGACATTTGTAGGAAATTTGAGAGGAATTTGGAGGAATTTGTGAGAATTTGAAGGAATTCGCAGGGAATTTAGAGGAATTTGTAGGGTATTTAGAGAAGTTCGTGGTGGGTTATTTGGAGGAATTTATGATGGGGTATCTGGAGGAATTTGCAGGAATTATGCATAAAAAAATTCCCCTTTGAGGAATTGTTTGCACCAATTCTGGGATGGTGGTTTACCCCTTGGATTTTACTATTGTAGAAACTTCTTTCCAGTTTTCAGTAGCGTGTCCTTTGGATTTTTATTTTCAAATCTTCAATAGCCAATCAAAAGCCGGGAATAATCAAAATTTGTACCTTTGAACCCAAGCTTTAGAATATTAACCTTAACATTTGTTCTGAACACAATTACAGACCCAATCCAGTATCGAACATCGCTCCCCTAGTGGACTCAAACAATGTCACTCTAGAGTGGCCCCGGCCTGAAGGCAGAGTGGAAACTTACATTGTTAGGTGGTGGGAGGCAACAACTCCTTCCAAAGTAAACAAAAGTGTGGTGAATCAAAATCAAAACGGAACAGGCCCAGTACGACTTTTAGTAGGAGATTTAATGCCTGGAGAAGAATATGTCTTTGACATCCAAGCAATATCAAACGACTTGCAAAGTGACGTCACTGTATTAAGAACAAGAACAAGTATAAACAATTTAATTATTTAAAACAATAATAATTAACTGTTTAATTTTTCTAGTGCCCTTAATCCAATCAGAAGTAGTCGTAGTCAACAACCAAGGCTCTACTGACTCAGTGGGGCTGCGCTACACCCCAACTCCTCAAACATCTTCCAAATTTGACATTTACAGGTTCTCCTTGTCTGAACCAAACATTCCAGTCCAAGAAAAAGCAGCCAACGATTCAGATAGACTAGTGACATTTAAGAATCTAATACCTGGCCGATTATATAACATAACAGTTTGGACAGTGTCTCAGACTGTAGCCAGTCAACCCTTGCAAAGACAAGACAGATTGTACCCGGAACCGATAACAGGCATTAACGCCACCTCTATTTCAGACACAGAAATTACTCTGACGTGGGCATTTCCTCGAGGAGAATACAATGCCTTTGAAGTCCAATACATTAACTCAGAAGGGGCTTTTATACAAAATCTTACTTTGCACAATACTATTTCTATAAACGAACTAAAGCCTCATAGGAATTATACTTTTACAGTTATAGTGAGGAGTGGTACTGAGTCAAGCATTTTAAGGCGGTCTTTGCCTGTATCAGAAAGTTTTACCACCAAAGAGTCAGTGCCTGGTAAAGTGGAAAAGTTTGAGCCAATAGACATTCAACCAAGCGACATTGTGTTTGAATGGAGTTTGCCTACCTCTGAACAAAATGGAGTCATTAGGAAGTTTACAATAACTTATGGATTAGAAGTATGTACTTAATTGAAGTGTATTTTATATTAATAATGGGTTTAAATCCACAGGGTTCCCCTCATGTATTATTCAAAGACTTCGCCTCCTACGAATTCCGAGGTGCACTGAAGCAACTACTACCTGGAAAAACTTACGTATTCAAAATACAAGCAGAAACAAGAGTGGGATTCGGTCCGGAGACTATTTGGAAACAGCGCATGCCCATTATGGCACCACCTAAACCCAGCATGCAAGTGGTACCGACTGAAGTTTGTAAGAGTTCCACAACGATTCAGATCAGGTTCAGGAAGAACTATTTCAGTGAAGCTAATGGACCTGTAAGTATTATCATTCAGGATTCAAATATACAAAATTTTTTATGGGTTTCGTCAAACCAACTACACGAAAATCGCGATCGGCACACAAATAATCACTTTACCAGTCTTAAAACTCACCGTGGCCCCACGTTGGGCGCCAATTTGTAAGATCAAATTTGCGTTATTGCACTATTAGCGTTGACTACGAGATGTCAACAGGCCATGTAGCAGGTTGACATAATACAGGGGAGCGTTCGCCGTTAAGTCTTAGCCGACTGGAGTTCGATTGCTCATGAACCCGTTGAGGTACTGGAACCAAAATGGTACAGTTTTGAAGAGAATTTAATGCTCTTTCCAATGATATATAATTGTAGTTAATTTGCTCAAATTCTATTGTAGATATGGGCAATTATTCATGAGCGTGTCAAGATTTCAAAAAATTTCCAGAGACAAAAATTGAGATTTCCTATAGGATTTTTTCTCTCATTATAATTCTCAAATCTAACTGATCTAAGAGTTGTTTTTGAGTAATTTCAACTCGCTCTATCGCCAGAATTGAGAAAATTTCAAAAATAAAAATTTTCAATTTTTTGCACTTTTTTCTAAGGGGTACCCCTTTGGATTTTTATTTTCAAATCTTCAAAGTTCGATATCTTGGTAACCAAAAGTGGTACCGAGACAAAATTTGCAGGGTTTGTAGCTCTTGATAAGGGCTTTCAGATGGTATTTAGTTGAAATCGCTAGGATTTATAGTTTTTGAAAAAATCGAGTTTGAAGTTTTGGATAAAATTTTGACTAAAGTTCAACTTTGAAGTCCGATTGCTCATGAACCCGTTGAGGTACTGGAACCAATATGGTACAGTTTTGAAGAGAATTTAATGCTCTTTCCAATGATACCTAATTGTAAGTAATTTGCTCAAATTTTACTGAAGATATGAGCAATTATTCATGAGCGTGTCAAGATTTCAAAAAATTCCCAGAGACAAAAATTGAGATTTCCTTTGGGATTTTTTCTCTCAGTATAATTCTCAAATCTAACTGATCCAAGAGTTGTTTTTGACTAATTTCAACTCGCTCTATCGATTTCTGAAGCTAGAATTGAGAAAATTTCAAAAATAAAAATTTTCAATTTTTTGCACTTTTTTCTAAGGGGTACCCCTTTGGATTTTTATTTTCAAATCTTCAAAGCTCGATATCTTGGGAACCAAACGCGGTACCGGGACTAAATTTGTAGGGTTTGTAGCTCTTGATAAGGGCTTTCAGATGGTATTTAGTTGAAATCGCTAGCGTTTATAGTTTTTGAGAAAATCGAGTTTGAAGTTTTGGATAAAATTTTGACTAAAGTTCAACTTTGAAGTTCGATTGCTCATGAACCCGTTGAGGTACTGGAACCAAAATGGTACAGTTTTGAAGAGAATTGAATGCTCTTTCCAATGATATATAATTGTAGTTAATTTGCTCAAATTCTATTGTAGATATGGGCAATTATTCATGAGTGTGTCAAGATTTCAAAAAATTTCCAGAGACAAAAATTGAGATTTCCTATAGGATTTTTTCTCTTATTATAATTCTCAAATCTAACTGATCTAAGAGTTGTTTTTGACTAATTTCAACTCGCTCTATCGCCACAATTGAGAAAATTTCAAAAATAAAAATTTTCAATTTTTTGCACTTTTTTCTAAGGGGTACCCTTTGGATTTTTATTTTCAAATCTTCAAAGTTCGATATCTTGGTAACCAAAAGCGGTACCGAGACCAAATTTGCAGGGTTTGTAGCTTTTGATAAGGGCTTTTAGATGGTATTTAGTTGAAATCGCTAGCGTTTATAGTTTTTGAGAAAATCGAGTTTGAAGTTTTCGATAAAATTTTGACTAAAGTTCAACTTTGGAGTTCGATTGCTGATGAACCCGTTGAGGTACTGGAACCAATATGGTACAGTTTTGAAGAGAAATTTAATGCTCTTTCCAATAATACCTAATTGTAAGTAATTTGCTCAAATTTTACTGAAGATATGAGCAATTATTCATGAGCGTGTCAAGATTTCAAAAAATTCCCAGAGACAAAAATTGAGATTTCCTTTGGGATTTTTTCTCTCAGTATAATTCCCATATCTAACTGATCCAAGAGTTGTTTCTGACTAATTTGAACTCGCTCTATCGATTTCTGAAGTCAGAATTGAGAAAAATTCAAAAATAAAAATTTTCAATTTTTTGCACTTTTTTCTAAGGGGTACCCCTTTGGATTTTTATTTCCAAATCTTCAAAGCTCGATATCTTGGGAACCAAAAGCGGTACCGAGACTAAATTTGTAGGGTTTGTAGCTCTTGATAAGGGCTTTCAGATGGTATTTAGTTGAAATCGCTAGCGTTTATAGTTTTTGAGAAAATCGAATTTGAAATTTTGGACAAAATTTTCATTAAAGTTCAACTTTGAAGTTCTATTGCTCATGAACCCGTTGAGGTACTGGAACCAATATGGAACAGTTTTGAAGAGAATTTAATGCTCTTTCCAATGATACATAATTGTAAGTAATTTGATCAAATTCTATTGAAGATATGGGCAATTATTCACGAGCATGTCAAGATTTCAAAAAATTTCCATAGGCAAAAATTGAGATTTGCTATAGGATTTTTTGTCTCTTCAAAATTCTCAAATCTAAAAAGTTTTTTTGACTAATTTCAACTCGCTCTATCGATTTCTGAAGTCAGAATTGAGAAAAATTTAAAATCGCTAGCTTGAAACTCACCGTGGCCCCACGTTGGGCGCCAATTTGTAAGATAATTATTAGGGAAGTTGAGTACACGGGAAGAATTAAACGAGAACCGATAGAGGAAACTGATTAGGTACTGTATATTGGTCTTGTATTAACACAGAAAACGGAATGAAATTTGCGTTATTGCACTATCAGGTTTGACATCTCGTAGTTGACAGGCCATGCAGGTCGACATAATACACGGGAGTGTTCGCCGTTCAGTGGCGTGGGGATTAGGGAATTTTGTTACATATTCAATTTATGTAAAACATCCAAATCAATTTCTAGATTGTCTCCTACGCGATTATCGTATCCGAAGACGTCAAAACATACTCGGTAATTGTTAAAACCGTGTCTGGCAAAGTGACTTCTTGGCCGGTATCCGAACCAGTTACTCTAGAACCATTGCTTGTCAGTCATTTACATTCAACCTTGGACGAAAATATCACTCTACCAGTCTTGAAACTCACCGTGGCCCCACGTTGGGCGCCAATTTGTAAGATAATTCTTAGGGAAGTTGAGGACAGGGGAGCCGACTGGTGGCGTGGGGATTAGAGAATTTTGTGACATAGATATTCAAGCTATGTTAAACATCCAGATTATCGTATCCGAAGACGGCAAAACATACTCGGTAGTTGTTAAAACCGTGTCTGGGAAAGTGACTTCTTGGCCGGTATCCGAACCAGTTACTCTAGAACCATTGCTTGTCAGTCATTTACATTCAACCTTGGACGAAAATATCACTCTACCAGTCTTGAAACTCACCGTGGCCCCACGTTGGGCGCCAATTTGTGAAATAATTCTTCGGGAAATTGAGGACAGGGGAGCGGGGGGATTAGGGAATTTTGTTACATATTCAATTTATGTAAAACATCCAAATCAATTTCTAGATTGTCTCCTACGCGATTATCGTATCCGAAGACGATTCGAAAAACGCCTCAGGTCTAGAAATGCCCAGCTGGAGGGACGTGCAAGCCTACTCCCTATGGCCGCCCTATCAAATCATGGAGCCCTACTACCCCTTTTTCAATAGCTCAGTGGAGGATTTCACTATTGGAGGCGAAACTTGCGACATACGGTAACAAATTGCTTAAAGTTTTCAGTGAATTATTGGTATTTTTTCCAGGCAAGTCGGTTACTGTAATGGCCCTTTAAAGTCCGGATCTACCTATAGAGTTAAAATAAGGGCCTTTACTGCGCCTGATAAGTTTACGGATACCAGCTATAGTTTCCCAATACAAACAGGTAGGTTTTAAAAACAGCATTTAACTATTAATGATTTTATTTTGGTGCATTCAAAGGATTGCTAAGACTTGAAGGTAATTGCCAATAATGTTTGCACAGTTTTCTTATATACAAAATAATTTTTAGATCAAGACAACACTCCTATAATCCTAGGAGTTGTCATACCTCTAGTACTAATCTGTCTACTGTTTGTAATGATTATTATTATAAGAAAACGCCGTTCAGCTGGCAGAAAAGGCATGGTGGAATCCAGAAACAATGATAGTGCTAGTTTGCCTGATTCTGTAATGGAAACTAGTAGGCCTGTAAGAATCGAAAACTTTGCCAACCATTACAGAATAATGTCAGCCGATTCAGATTTCAGGTAAGCAATAACTTCACTATATCTATAATTATTTAAGTTTTAATATTTTTTATTTAATTGTGCTTACTATATACATAAAGGGATTGGACATTGATTACCAAGTAAGCTTGTTTGTAGTTTTTATTTGGGTTTTAATTATTATTGTATAGATTTAGTGAAGAATTTGAAGAATTGAAGCACATTGGCCGAGACCAACCTTGCACCGCAGCCGATTTGCCTTGCAACAGGCCCAAAAACCGCTTCACCAATATATTGCCCTACGATCATTCCAGGTTCAAGTTGCAACCTGTTGACGACGAAGAAGGTTCAGATTATGTCAATGCTAATTATGTACCTGTAAGTTGGATTCACTTGGGTTAAAAATGGAATTCTATTTGGACAATTTCAGGGCTATAACTCCCCAAGAGAATTCCTAGTCACTCAAGGCCCATTGCACTCGACCAGAGATGATTTTTGGAGGATGGTTTGGGAATCGAATTCGCGCGCTATCATTATGCTGACCAGATGTGTGGAAAAAGGACGGGAAAAGTGTGACCATTACTGGCCTTATGACACAATGCCAGTGTACTATGGAGATATTTCTGTACAGATTCTAAATGAAACACGATATCCTGATTGGAATATTTCTGAGTTTATGGTTTGTAGAGTAAGTATCAATGTTACCTACATGTGTTAATGTCTTCAGTATCCGGTATTTTTGTACCTTTTAACTTTACCATATAACTGGGAAATTTTTCTGATAACCTTTTTTCATAGATTTTGGCTTAAAATCTGAGAATAATTAAATGTATGGAGTTTAGGGGATGTGATCTGATGGACGGATCTGTGATTCTATCATTTTGATAGAAATCTAAGTCATACAATTTTGCAGCTGCGAAACTATTGAAGCTACATTGAAATTATCCACAGAGGGTTTGTAGAGAATTTGATTGGCTTCAATTTAAGCCCAATTACATCAAGATCGGATGGAAATTAACAAAGTTATGATACAAAATGGGTCATTTTGATAGAAATCTAAGTCACACAATTTTGCAGCTGCGAAACTATTGAAGCTACATTGAAATTACCCAGAGGAAGTTTGTAGAGAATTTGATTGGCTTCAATTTAAGCCTAATTACATCAAGATCGGATCAAAATTAACAAAGTTATGACACAAAGTGTGTTATTTTGATAGAAATCCAAGTCACACAATTTTGCAGCTGCGAAACTATTGAAGTTACATTGAAATTATCAAGAAGAAGTTTGTAGAGAATTTGATTGGTTTCAATTTAAGTCTAATTACGTCAGGAAAGGATCAAAATTACCAAAGTTATGACACAAAGTGTGTCATTTTAATAGAAATCTAAGTCACACAATTTTGCAGCTGCGAAACTATTGAAGCTACATTGAAATTACCCAGAGGAAGTTTGTAGAGAATTTGATTGGCTTCAATTTAAGCCAAATTACATCAAGATTGGATGAAAATTAACAAAGTTATGACACAAATTGTCTTATTTTGATAGAAATCTAAGTCACACAATTTTGCAGCTGCGAAACTATTGAAGCTACATTGAAATTATCCACAGGAGGTTTGTAGATAATTTCATTGGCTTCAATTTAAGCACAATTACATCAAGATCGGATGGAAATTAACAAAGTTATGACATAAACTGCGTTATTTTGATAGAAATCTAAGTCACACAATTTTGCAGCTGCGAAACTATTGAAGCTACATTGAAATTACCCAGAGGAAGTTTGTAGAGAATTTGATTGGCTTCAATTTAAGCCTAATTACATCAAGATCGGATCAAAATTAACAAAGTCATGACACAAAGTGTGTCATTTTGATAGAAATCTAAGTCACACAATTTTGCAGCTGCGAAACTATTGAAGCTACATTGAAATTACCCAAAGGAAGTTTGTAGAGAATTTGATTGGCTTCAATTTAAGCCTAATTACATCAAGATCGGATCAAAATTAACAAAGTTATGACACAAAGTGTGTCATTTTGATAGAAATCTAAGTCACACAATTTTGCAGCTGCGAAACTATTGAAGTTACATTTAAATTATCCAGAGGAAGTTTGTAGAGAATTTGATTGGCTTCAATTTAAGCCTAATTACATCAAGATCGGATCAAAATTAACAAAGTTATGACACAAAGTGTGTTATTTTGATAGAAATCCAAGTCACACAATTTTGCAGCTGCGAAACTATTGAAGCTACATTAAAATTATCAAGAGGAAGTTTGTAGATAATTTGATTGGCTTCAATTTAAGCCCAATTACATCAATATCGGATGGAAATTAACAAAGTTATGACACAAACTGGGTCATTTTGATAGAAATCTAAGTCACACAATTTTGCAGCTGCGAAACTATTGAAGTTACATTGAAATTATCAAGAGGAAGTTTGTAGAGAATTTGATTGGTTTCAATTTAAGTCTAATTACGTCAGGAAAGGATCAAAATTACCAAAGTTATGACACAAAGTGTGGCATTTTGATAGAAATCTAAGTCACACAATTTTGCAGCTGCGAAACTATTGAAGCTACATTAAAATTATCCAGAGGAAGTTTGTAGAGAATTTGATTGGCTTCAACTTAAGCCTAATTACATCAAGATCGGATCAAAATTAACAAAGTTATGACACAAAGTGTGTTATCTTGATAGAAATCTAAGTCACACAATTTTGCAGCTGCGAAACTATTGAAGCTACATTGAAATTACCCAAAGGAAGTTTGTAGAGAATTTGATTGGCTTCAATTTAAGCCTAATTACATCAAGATCGGATCAAAATTAACAAAGTTATGACACAAAGTGTGTCATTTTGATAGAAATCTAAGTCACACAATTTTGCAGCTGCGAAACTATTGAAGTTACATTTAAATTATCCAGAGGAAGTTTGTAGAGAATTTGATTGGCTTCAATTTAAGCCTAATTACATCAAGATCGGATCAAAATTAACAAAGTTATGACACAAAGTGTGTTATTTTGATAGAAATCCAAGTCACACAATTTTGCAGCTGCGAAACTATTGAAGCTACATTGAAATTACCCAGAGGAAGTTTGTAGAGAATTTGATTGGCTTCAATTTAGGCCTAATTACATCAAGATCGGATCAAAATTAACAAAATTATGACACAAAGTGTGTTATTTTGATAGAAATCTAAGTCACACAATTTTGCAGCTGCGAAACTATTGAAGCTACATTGAAAACATCCAGAGGAAGTTTGTAGAGAATTTGATTGGCTTCAATTTAAGCCTAATTACATCAAGATCGGATCAAAATTAACAAAGTTATAACACAAAGTGTGTTATTTTGATAGAAATCTAAGTCACACAATTTTGCAGCTGCGAAACTATTGAAGCTACATTGAAAACATCCAGAGGAGGTTTGTAGAGAATTTGATTGGCTTCAATTTAAGCCAAATTACATCAAGATTGGATGAAAATTAACAAAGTTATGACACAAATTGTCTTATTTTGATAGAAATCTAAGTCACACAATTTTGCAGCTGCGAAACTATTGAAGCTACATTGAAATTATCCACAGGAAGTTTGTAGAGAATGTGATTGGCTTCAATTTAAGCCTAATTACATCAAGATCGGATCAAAATTAACAAAGTTATGACACAAAGTGTGTTATTTTGATAGAAATCCAAGTCACACAATTTTGCAGCTGCGAAACTATTGAAGCTACATTGAAATTACCCAGAGGAAGTTTGTAGAGAATTTGATTGGCTTCAATTTAAGCATAATTACATCAAGATCGGATCAAAATTAACAAAGTCATGACACAAAGTGTGTCATTTTGATAGAAATCTAAGTCACACAATTTTGCAGCTGCGAAATTATTGAAGCTACATTGAAATTACCCAGAGGAAGTTTGTAGAGAATTTGATTGGCTTCAATTTAAGCCTAATTACATCAAGATCGGATCAAAATTAACAAAGTTATGACACAAAGTGTGTCATTTTGATAGAAATCTAAGTCACACAATTTTGCAGCTGCGAAACTATTGAAGCTACATTGAAATTACCCAGAAAAAGTTTGTAGAAGATTTGATTGGCTTCAATTTAAGCCAAATTACATCAAGATTGGATCAAAATTAACAAAGTTATGACACAAAGTGTGTTATTTTGATAGAAATCTAAGTCACACAATTTTGCAGATGCGAAACTATTGAAGCTACATTGAAATTATCCTCAGGAGGTTTGTAGAGAATTTGGTTGGCTTCAATTTAAGCCCAATTACATCAAGATGGGATCAAAATTACCAAAGTTATGACACAAAGTGTGTCATTTTGATAGAAATCTAAGTCACACAATTTTGCAGCTGCGAAAGTATTGAAGCTACATTGAAATTATCCACAGGAGGTTTGTAGATAATTTCATTGGCTTCAATTTAAGCACAATTACATCAAGATCGGATGGAAATTAACAAAGTTATGACACAAACTGCGTCATTTTGATAGAAATCTAAGTCACACAATTTTGCAGCTGCGAAACTATTGAAGCTACATTGAAATTACCCCGAGGAAGTTTGTAGAGAATTTGATTGGCTTCAATTTAAGCCTAATTACATCAAGATCGGATCAAAATTAACAAAGTTATGACACAAAGTGTGTCATTTTGATAGAAATCCAAGTCACACAATTTTGCAGCTGCGAAACTATTGAAGCTACATTGAAATTACCCAGAGGAAGTTTGTAGAGAATTTGATTGGCTTCAATTTAAGCCTAATTACATCAAGATCGGATCAAAATTAACAAAGTCATGACACAAAGTGTGTCATTTTGATAGAAATCTAAGTCACACAATTTTGCAGCTGCGAAATTATTGAAGCTACATTGAAATTACCCAGAGGAAGTTTGTAGAGAATTTGATTGGCTTCAATTTAAGCCTAATTACATCAAGATTGGATCAAAATTAACAAAGTTATGACACAAAGTGTGTTATTTTGATAGAAATCTAAGTCACACAATTTTGCAGCTGCGAAACTATTGAAGCTACATTGAAATTATCCACAGGAGGTTTGTAGAGAATTTGGTTGGCTTCAATTTAAGCCCAATTACATCAAGATGGGATCAAAATTACCAAAGTTATGACACAAAGTGTGTCATTTTGATAGAAATCTAAGTCACACAATTTTGCAGCTGCGAAAGTATTGAAGCTACATTGAAATTATCCACAGGAGGTTTGTAGATAATTTCATTGGCTTCAATTTAAGCACAATTACATCAAGATCGGATGGAAATTAACAAAGTTATGACACAAACTGCGTCATTTTGATAGAAATCTAAGTCACACAATTTTGCAACTGCGAAACTATTGAAGCTACATTGAAATTACTCAGAGGAAGTTTGTAGAGAATTTGATTGGCTTCAATTTAAGCCTAATTACATCAAGATCGGATCAAAATTAACAAAGTTATGACACAAAGTGTGTCATTTTGATAGAAATCTAAGTCACACAATTTTGCAGCTGCGAAACTATTGAAGCTACATTGAAATTATCCAAAGGAAATTTGTAGAGAATTTGATTAGCTTCAATTCAAGCCTAATTACATCAAGATCAGATCAAAATTAACAAAGTTATGACACAAAGTGTGTCATTTTGATAGAAATCCAAGTCACACAATTTTGCAGCTGCGAAACTATTGAAGCTACATTGAAATTATCCAGAAGAAGTTTGTAGAGAATTTGATTGGCTTCAATTTAAGCCTAATTACATCAAGATCGGATCAAAATTAACAAAGTTATGACACAAAGTGTGTCATTTTGATAGAAATCCAAGTCACACAATTTTGCAGCTGCGAAACTATTGAAGCTACATTGAAATTACCCAGAGGAAGTTTGTAGAGAAATTGATTGGCTTCAATTTAAGCCTAATTACATCAAGATCGGATCAAAATTAACAAAGTCATGACACAAAGTGTGTCATTTTGATAGAAATCTAAGTCACACAATTTTGCAGCTGCGAAATTATTGAAGCTACATTGAAATTACCCAGAGGAAGTTTGTAGAGAATTTGATTGGCTTCAATTTAAGCCTAATTACATCAATATTGGATCAAAATTAACAAAGTTATGACACAAAGTGTGTTATTTTGATAGAAATCTAAGTCACACAATTTTGCAGCTGCGAAACTATTGAAGCTACATTGAAATTATCCACAGGAGGTTTGTAGAGAATTTGATTGGCTTCAATTTAAGCCCAATTACATCAAGATGGGATCAAAATTACCAAAGTTATGACACAAAGTGTGTCATTTTGATAGAAATCTAAGTCACACAATTTTGCAGCTGCGAAAGTATTGAAGCTAAATTGAAATTATCCACAGGAGGTTTGTAGAGAATTTGATTGGCTTCAATTTAAGCCCAATTACATCAAGATCGGATCAAAATTAACAAAGTCATGACACAAAGTGTGTCATTTTGATAGAAATCTAAGTCACACAATTTTGCAGCTGCGAAACTATTGAAGCTACATTGAAATTATCCACAGGAGGTTTGTAGAGAATTTGATTGGCTTCAATTTAAGCCCAATTACATCAAGATCGGATCAAAATTAACAAAGTCATGACACAAAGTGTGTCATTTTGATAGAAATCTAAGTCACACAATTTTGCAGCTGCGAAATTATTGAAGCTACATTGAACTTACCCAGAGGAAGTTTGTAGAGAATTTGATTGGCTTCAATTTAAGCCTAATTACATCAAGATCGGATCAAAATTAACAAAGTCATGACACAAAGTGTGTCATTTTGATAGAAATCTAAGTCACACAATTTTGCAGCTGCGAAATTATTGAAGCTACATTGAAATTACCCAGAGGAAGTTTGTAGAGAATTTGATTGGCTTCAATTTAAGCCTAATTACATCAAGATTGGATCAAAATTAACAAAGTTATGACACAAAGTGTGTTATTTTGATAGAAATCTAAGTCACACAATTTTGCAGCTGCGAAACTATTGAAGCTACATTGAAATTATCCACAGGAGGTTTGTAGAGAATTTGATTGGCTTCAATTTAAGCCCAATTACATCAAGATGGGATCAAAATTACCAAAGTTATGACACAAAGTGTGTCATTTTGATAGAAATCTAAGTCACACAATTTTGCAGCTGCGAAAGTATTGAAGCTAAATTGAAATTATCCACAGGAGGTTTGTAGAGAATTTGATTGGCTTCAATTTAAGCCCAATTACATCAAGATCGGATCAAAATTAACAAAGTCATGACACAAAGTGTGTCATTTTGATAGAAATCTAAGTCACACAATTTTGCAGCTGCGAAACTATTGAAGCTACATTGAAATTATCCACAGGAGGTTTGTAGAGAATTTGATTGGCTTCAATTTAAGCCCAATTACATCAAGATCGGATCAAAATTAACAAAGTCATGACACAAAGTGTGTCATTTTGATAGAAATCTAAGTCACACAATTTTGCAGCTGCGAAATTATTGAAGCTACATTGAACTTACCCAGAGGAAGTTTGTAGAGAATTTGATTGGCTTCAATTTAAGCCTAATTACATCAAGATCGGATCAAAATTAACAAAGTCATGACACAAAGTGTGTCATTTTGATAGAAATCTAAGTCACACAATTTTGCAGCTGCGAAATTATTGAAGCTACATTGAAATTACCCAGAGGAAGTTTGTAGAGAATTTGATTGGCTTCAATTTAAGCCTAATTACATCAAGATTGGATCAAAATTAACAAAGTTATGACACAAAGTGTGTTATTTTGATAGAAATCTAAGTCACACAATTTTGCAGCTGCGAAACTATTGAAGCTACATTGAAATTATCCACAGGAGGTTTGTAGAGAATTTGATTGGCTTCAATTTAAGCCCAATTACATCAAGATGGGATCAAAATTACCAAAGTTATGACACAAAGTGTGTCATTTTGATAGAAATCTAAGTCACACAATTTTGCAGCTGCGAAAGTATTGAAGCTAAATTGAAATTATCCACAGGAGGTTTGTAGATAATTTCATTGGCTTCAATTTAAGCACAATTACATCAAGATCGGATGGAAATTAACAAAGTTATGACACAAACTGCGTCATTTTGATAGAAATCTAAGTCACACAATTTTGCAGCTGCGAAACTATTGAAGCTACATTGAAATTACCCAGAGGAAGTTTGTAGAGAATTTGATTGGCTTCAATTTAAGCCTAATTACATCAAGATCGGATCAAAATTAACAAAGTCATGACACAAAGTGTGTCATTTTGATAGAAATCTAAGTCACACAATTTTGCAGCTGCGAAATTATTGAAGCTACATTGAAATTACCCAGAGGAAGTTTGTAGAGAATTTGATTGGCTTCAATTTAAGCCTAATTACATCAAGATCGGATCAAAATTAACAAAGTTATGACACAAAGTGTGTCATTTTGATAGAAATCCAAGTCACACAATTTTGCAGCTGCGAAACTATTGAAGCTACATTGAAATTACCCAGAGGAAGTTTGTAGAGAATTTGATTGGCTTCAATTTAAACCTAATTACATCAAGATCGGATCAAAATTAACAAAGTTATGACACAAAGTGTGTCATTTTGATAGAAATCCAAGTCACACAATTTTGCAGCTGCGAAACTATTGAAGCTACATTGAAATTATCCAGAGGAAGTTTGTAGAGAATTTGATTGGCTTCAATTTAAGCCTAATTACATCAAGATCGGATCAAAATTAACAAAGTTATGACACAAAGTGTGTCATTTTGATAGAAATCCAAGTCACACAATTTTGCAGCTGCGAAACTATTGAAGCTACATTGAAATTATCCAGAAGAAGTTTGTAGAGAATTTGATTGGCTTCAATTTAAGCCTAATTACATCAAGATCGGATCAAAATTAACAAAGTTATGACACAAAGTGTGTCATTTTGATAGAAATCCAAGTCACACAATTTTGCAGCTGCGAAACTATTGAAGCTACATTGAAATTATCCAGAGGAAGTTTGTAGAGAATTTGATTGGCTTCAATTTAAGCCTAATTACATCAAGATCGGATCAAAATTAACAAAGTTATGACACAAAGTGTGTCATTTTGATAGAAATCCAAGTCACACAATTTTGCAGCTGCGAAACTATTGAAGCTACATTGAAATTATCCAGAGGAAGTTTGTAGAGAATTTGATTGGCTTCAATTTAAGCCTAATTACATCAAGATCGGATCAAAATTAACAAAGTTATGACACAAAGTGTGTCATTTTGATAGAAATCCAAGTCACACAATTTTGCAGCTGCGAAACTATTGAAGCTACATTGAAATTATCCAGAAGAAGTTTGTAGAGAATTTGATTGGCTTCAATTTAAGCCTAATTACATCAAGATCGGATCAAAATTAACAAAGTTATGACACAAAGTGTGTCATTTTGATAGAAATCCAAGTCACACAATTTTGCAGCTGCGAAACTATTGAAGCTACATTGAAATTATCCAGAAGAAGTTTGTAGAGAATTTGATTGGCTTCAATTTAAGCCTAATTACATCAAGATCGGATCAAAATTAACAAAGTTATGACACAAAGTGTGTCATTTTGATAGAAATCCAAGTCACACAATTTTGCAGCTGCGAAACTATTGAAGCTACATTGAAATTATCCAGAGGAAGTTTGTAGAGAATTTGATTGGCTTCAATTTAAGCCTAATTACATCAAGATCGGATCAAAATTAACAAAGTTATGACACAAAGTGTGTCATTTTGATAGAAATCCAAGTCACACAATTTTGCAGCTGCGAAACTATTGAAGCTACATTGAAATTATCCAGAGGAAGTTTGTAGAGAATTTGATTGGCTTCAATTTAAGCCTAATTACATCAAGATCGGATCAAAATTAACAAAGTTATGACACAAAGTGTGTCATTTTGATAGAAATCCAAGTCACACAATTTTGCAGCTGCGAAACTATTGAAGCTACATTGAAATTATCCAGAAGAAGTTTGTAGAGAATTTGATTGGCTTCAATTTAAGCCTAATTACATCAAGATCGGATCAAAATTAACAAAAGT